TTCAATCTTTACTGGCAGCAGACTTGAGCAAGGCTTTTACCAAGCCTCAACTGCGCCAGGGTCCTGCAAAAACCAGCGTTGCTTTCTGGAGAGAAGAGGGACCCCACTTCACTTCTCCAGAGGTCTCAGAGGTCTGGCTGGAGGGTTTCTCTTTTCCAGGATTGTTGTTTGGTTTTGGTTTTGTTTTTTTTCAGTAGGGTTTACTTCCCAGTTTATTCTTACACTTTCCGTTGGTGCCTCTTGCAGAGATTAATGGCAATCCAAGAGCATGGGTGACTGAAGGTTATCGTGTAACTCCTGTAGCATCTAAGATCAGGCATATATTATTATTATTTACTTTCTGACATTGTGATGGTGCATCAGAGCTTAGCCACGTGGTACTCGGTGAGTCACAGTCCCTGTGTAGTCCTTGTGATCAGCAGAGCTGTTCAGCTCCCTTATGCAGGGTTATGGTTTTGACTATGCATTTCACGCTTGGAACAAAGCTGTAAAAATAGCATTTCAGCTCACTTATATCCCAGAAAGGTTTTGACTTGAAAAAACAGATATAGACTGACCAGAAAATAAGAACAGCCATCATGGTTCAAACCCCAGGACTATTTAGCCAATGTTGTATCCTCTGATATTTAGCCAGTATTGTTCCTCCATCACATTTCTTAGATTTCTAGCATTTGTGTAGAACAGCTTTGGCTCCTTTCTTTGCAGTGTGTTTGGACAGCTATTGAAACATCTTCCTGATTTTCCTTCTCCTATTTGATTATTTTTACCCTCCTGACTTATCCTTCTCTTGAAGGATGTTTGTCTCAGTCTGTAGTACAGTCTCCCCACAACTGCATGCACATAGGCACTTGAAAGCTTTATCCATGCTTCAGCTGAAAGTTTTTCACAAACTCCTTGATTTTAAGTGACATCAACATCATTTTTCTTCACTGAGCAACCTGACCTAGTGAAAGATGTCCCTGCTTATGTCAGCACGGCCGGACTAGATGATCTTTGAACGTCCCTTCCAACCCAAACTGTTCTACAATTCTATGATTCACTCTGTTATAATTCAGACAATGTTCCTTCCATGTGTACAGGCTTCCTTTAGTCTGGAAGTATAAGCAATTCATGATGAGTCTTAAGCCTTTTGCCTTATTCCATCTTCTCTGTCAGGAATCTGTTCCAACTTTGTGGAAAAAATCCATACATTTATTTAAAAATTGTTAAAATCTCTTAATGCTATTACTTCTAAAACATCAAAATTTTTTGACACAGCATGGTATTTTCTTGAAAAGTGACTCGATGTTTACTTTTAATAATCTGTTTTAAGGAGAAATATTTAATTTGGGGTGGGTTATTTGTTGTACATGCCAGTATTTAAAAAAGAAATTAAAATATAAGCAAACTGACAGAATATATAAAAACCGACAGCCACCTTGAATTTGACCATGGTCAACTATTAAACCACCTATTAATTTTGGGTATAAAAAGCAGATGTAGTTCTATTACACAGTTCATTACAAATGTTTGCTGAAATGACAGCCTCAGCACCATACCCAGCTGCCAGTACCACTATGCAAAGATGCACAGAAAACCAAGTTCTGCTGGTTCCACTGCTCACACAGTTTGTTTTTTCACTGCATTGGTACTAGAATTTCAGTAAATAAATCAGCTGACAATCACAGGAACCGAGGACAGTTTCAATAGCCTACATGCAGTTTTAAAAGCATCCAAAGTTTCTCTCTATCTGCATGATTCAAATTGACCTTAATGTGTGCTCCACCACTTAAATATCACAAGAGGTTTTGAAAATTTAACAACTGAGAGATCGAAGTACTAGGTACTTTCCAACAGTTATGAAATCGAAGGGCTCAGTCTAATTTTTATTAAGTTTCATAAAGAACGTTCCATAAAAATTCTTTAGTGGGCTGCCTGCTCTGTAGTAAATTACCCAATCAAATGTCTATTTGTCACAAAGTATTTATGAAGTTGTGGAAACCTGTATGAGAGCAGAAGTGTAACATGATGAAGTCTTCTCTTGCTGGGAAATTTGCTGTGTTCCTTAGAATGGAGCCCTGCAAAAGCTATTCCTCTGGGGAGCGAGGGGTCTAAGAAATGCAAATCAAGGCTGATGGACACGGTTTGGAGATAATTAGCAGATTGACTTTCCATGATCAGCTAATTTTATTATCAGTTAAATTGTTTGCTTCTCATTGTATTTCACCACCCATGCATCTCTAATAACAAATAGCCTTAATAATTACAAGCAATACCTGCTGTGATATGAATAGGATGATATGAACAACAAAATTACTATAATCAATCAACAGCAGCACGTCGTTTAAATTTGCAGAAATGCAAGAAATTCTGGGGACCACTGCGGCATCAACATCCTTTATACAATCACAAAATGTTACACGCCAGCTGAGAAATGTAACAGCACTGGCTCAGGTGAACTGAGCACGGCTGAAGAAATGCGTTCCACCACCTCAACCAGATGGTAGTCTTGATATCTATACAGCAACAAGAAGAGATTGCTAGGAAATATTCACATATTAGTGTGTGTGGGGCTGATGGTTTTGTGCATAATATATAGAGACAGACAGACACACCAACATGCAGATTGCCTGAAAACTTGCCCAGGTCTTTCCTGAACAAGTAAATGCTGAACAAATACACTTGTTCCATGTCCGTGACCTTAAACAGCAATGGTTGTAAGAGTTATAGAATCGTAAAATCATAGAATGGTTGGGGTTGGAAGGGACCTCAAAGATCAGCTAGTTCCAACCCCCCTGCTATGGACAGGGACACCCTCCACTACATCAGGTTGCCCAAAGTCTCATCCAACCTGGCCTTGAACACTTCCAGGGATGGGGCAGCCACAGCGTCTCTGGGCAACCTGTGCCAGTGCCTCACCACACTCACAGTGAAAAATTTCTTCCTTATATCTAATCTAATCTCCCCTCTTTCAGTTTAAAGCCATTGTCCCTTGTTCTATCACTACACGCCCTTGTAAAAAGTCCCTCTCCAGCTTTCCTGTAGCCCCTTTAGGTACTGGAAGGCTGCAATAAGATCACCCCGGAGCCTTCTCTTCTCCAG